TGTGTGTGAATTCACAATTTTTATATGATATATACTGAAAAAAGAGTATGGTGTTAATTAGAGTTCTGATTCACTATTAGTTTTCAAAAAAGCAATCTAATAAACCGAATTTGATTCAATACATTTTCTTGAGTTAAATTGTTTTAATTAAATTAATAACATATTGAATAGGAGTAATAGTGACCTATAGAAATGATTAAAAATAACTTAAATTGAATATAATTTTAACATTAAAACTTTTATTAAACTATGTTGAAAATGGACAAATCAGAATTTTTTGGTTGAATCTGTTATAATTCTAGTTCAGGATATCAATCATGTAACTTTTTCTCTAGAGTGAAAACGTGAAAAGTGAAAATTTTTATGCATTTATGTATGTATGTACATATACTTACATACATATAAAAAATTTTCACTTTTCACGTTCCCGCCCTAGGGAAAAAGTTACATGATCGATACTCAGATAACCAATGTTTTTCTGATTAATATAATCAGAATTTTCTGATTCATTTATTTCAAGAAATTTTTCTCAGTGTTTATACATATATATGTACGCGCGCGCGCGCGCGTGTGTGTGTGTGTGTGTGTGTGTGAAAACTGTGAATTTAAATGAGAATCTTGTTTACCTTGGACTGATCAATACAATTAATCTCGTGTCATGCTTAATGATGTTGACATTATGAAAATTTATTCTCGATTTTAATACAGTTAACATTATGAAATTCAAATTTCAAATAATTGGATGCATTTTGCATGCGTAACATCCGTTACCATTTAGAAACATGAAATGTAAAATATTGCATGTGGAACATTGATAAGTTTTGTTCAATTGAAACTTTTAATATTTCTACCGGCTACAAATGAAAAAATTTCAGTACTTATTTTTTTATGACACTAAATATAATTATTTCTTCTAATTTTTTATTGATATTTAATTGAATAGTTCATTAATTTAAATCTAATTATTAAAAATTGATAAAGATATCAAATAATTCCGAAAGTTCAAATTCAAATCTTTTTTTAATTATTAACTTAATTTAAGAGTTACGATCGCCAATCACGTTATGCCATCGTGACAAGCAATTAGATTTGATCGTGGGTAAGACACCCTGAAGCCGTATAGAGATTTGCAAGCGCGTGAAAGGACCAACTTCATAAAAGAAGCTATTCTCCGCAACATTCGTCATTCCGCGAATTATGTCTGACGAGGATCCGCTCGTCAATCGTTTCCGGTTTTCTTTTGCTAATGATACGAATGCGTCTTCCAAAAGTCATCTTTCATGTATTACGCGGGCGTATTAATCGTGCAGTGAACAAAGTACGCTTTGTACAAGCTAAGCGGATCGGAAGTAGCACGGTAAAGTATATATGTTGCTGTTACAATGAATTTAATTAATGGACGCTCTCAATGGAGCTTAGTGTTTAAGGAATAAAAGGTAGCTGTGGGACGCTTAACAAAACGGCTGTAGGGCGATATCGATCAGCGTCCACCGCAAAATAGCATGAATTAATAAAAGCAATGTCGGCGCGCCGCTTTTATGGCTAAATGGCAAACGCAATTTTCGAGACGGCCTGTTCAAACACAAATGCCCGAAAGCTCCGCAATTTGAAATTTTAATAAATCGTTGATTCGGCTAGTTAAGCCGACCATCACGGCAAATCAGTGATTATCTCAGAGGCAACGTAGTCAAACATAATAGATTAATTGAACGTGATGAACTTGACGCGATATCGCGTAATCATGCGTGATAATGATTTGAAACTGCACTATGTAATGCATCACAGGCTGGGGACTTGAATAACTACGTTCATTTGTATTATGGCTCGTTAAAGTTGAAAGATGACCAAGTCGTACGGGGAATACAAACATCGCAGATCTCTAATAACGAATTGTGCTTTACGGAAGACACATGACTCATGAATTTAAGCCATGTCAATTATTATCATGGCAACACTAGTAGCAGCAGAATAACTAATTAGATGTATTTGTAATGAGTAATCTGTTAGTAATGAAGAATTATTTCATTGTAGAATTGTTCTAAAAATAAACGTATTAATAAATAGACGATTAATCACGTTTAAGATAAACACAATTTGATAAGTATTATAAAATATCATTATGCTAAAAATATTATGGAAAATAAATACAAGTTAATTAAAGATCGTATTTATAGTACACTCAAAGAAAAAGACAGAGTGCCCTTACAAAAATCTAATACTGAAAGACAGTAATTAATTATTTATTTTAAGTATAAGCACTGTTGTTCAGTACTTTTAATACTCCAAATAAGTAATTAATTACTGTCTTCCAATAATAAATTGGCCAATGTTAGATTATTCCTGTAAGGGTGATGAACTATAAAGTGACAACTGTACAAGTTTAATATGTAGAATTAATGTACATAGTTAAATAAATTATTTTATTTATTGCAACTATTTTAGTTGTGACAACTATCATATAAAATAGCTTATTAAACTACATATATTAATTCTACGTATAAAATTTGCACAGCTGTCATCTTTATAGTTGCCATCACTATATTTTTTTTATAGATGATTTCTTAAGTTTTATATTATTTCTAAGAGAAATAATGTAAAACTGAATATTGAAGATGTGTTGTTGATTGATAGAATGGAAAAGAATGTCCTTGCGTTGGCAATATTGCAGGAAGTAAAAATACAGTTCAATTAATTGCAGGCTTTAACGCATGTAATTAATCATAGGCGCAATTTGTTAAAGGTGACGTATTACAAAATTTAAATATACATGACAGAAAAAGAAAAGATGATTTAAATTTATTACATGTCTACTGGGAAAAATGAAATATGAGCGAGTGTAAAGATGCATCGTGGATTGTTATACATATAAATGTGCAATAACTAAAAAAAATCTTATCGTATTAGAGATAAAATACAACGATAATAATGAAATACTTTAATATGAAAAACGTACAGATGAAAATTAATTAATCACAGAGAAAATTAATTACATATTTCTAATAAATTTGCTAAATATGGAATATAGATTCAGGTGTATCATGGGTCGACGTGTTGAGTGCCCAAACTATTAATTATTTCACTAATTACGGGCGTGCTGTGACACTCAGTGTAAACTCACCCACGCGAGCATTCGGGGGTAGGGATATAATAGAGGGTACAAGTTTGACCGTGCATCATATATGCATCAGTTTTCATGCGTGTATACATGCGAAGCAGTAGCTCATCGCAGCCATCATAATTCTACCGCCATCCGAGCTCTATATAATTTCAATGTGAAATTTACGATTAATGGATACACAAGCTAGATGAAATCGTGAAAGTGAATATCGATCGTGAAATCTATTACAAATCCTACTAAAAAAGCAAGAGTCAGACCACGTGGTAAGGAATACAACGATATAAATAAAATTCTCATGAAAGTGCTTAGTTGAAGCAATGTTTAAAAGATATAGGTATTACAAATATTTTCGAAACAATGAAAAAATTATGAAAAATGACATTTTATTTAAAGAGCACATTTAAAAATAATATAAAAGCTCCTCTCTCTTAGCAACGATTAGAACCTAAAAATTATTTCAATGAAAAACGAAAGTGTACTTTAATGGAAATATAATTAAAAAGTAATAACAAAACCTCGATTTTTTTATATAAATATTTTAAATGCTCAAGATAATTTATGTAAAAGTTTTATTGAAGTTTCATTGAAAGATTAATTTTTCTGTAAATAAATAAAATTCATTTCTTTGTTTATTTACAGAACAACTATCCCCTGTATTGTATTGAAATTTTGCATAAATCGCTTTGAATCTACTTAAGTATTTGTACAAAAAAAAATTGATATTTTTCATTGATTTTTTAAATAATTTCATTTTTAATAACAAAAAATAAATGAACTACAAAATATGTTGTTAAATAAAAATATAATGTTATTTACACAACTTTTATGTATACGTATATAATTTATTTAAAACACAAGCATTAACATTTTCAATTTTAATTTACTTTGCAGGAACTGTACAGATGATTAAGTAAACTTGGTTATTTTTTATCGTTTGCCGGAGATTATAATTATATTTAATGACGATTAAATTTATTGCGGGAATTAAGTGGAACGCTGATATACACACGAGAAGTATTTCACTTTCATCATTTTCTTAATGTAAAAACTCGTGGTTGTTTAAGTATCTCACTGCGTCCTCCCGCAACGGTACATTTTATGATACACACGATACGACGATACTCTTCGAGATTTCAAGGAGCATAAAATTCTCAAATTTCTCACACATCGAATTTCTTGTACATCGAATTTCATGACGGGACGCTTCCGTATCCGGAGCGCGTGATAGACGGAACGGATCGCACTACGTACCGACAGTACAGAAGATGAATCTCTCGGGCGCTGTGCTCTGCAATTTCCGGCCCCACGGGGTCGTGCACTGTCCGGTCTTTCTCGTCGTCTTGCATCGTCCGCCTCGTCGAGTCGGCGTTCTAGAAACTTACAGCTACCTACATGCACGCATTTCACGAGCGCCGATTTCGAAAGCCGGTCGAAGCGGATTGGCACGAGTCCCGACCTAGTTCTTCCAACTATTCAACCATAATCGGATGCACTGAGCGCGGAATATGCATGCGCACATATGCGGTACGCGCTCCGACTCCGTATGTGGTTGCAATAACGTCGCGAAGATTATCCGAGAGACTTGCACGTATCCTTCTTTTTATGTTTAACACGTATGCATTCAAAGCTCTTGTTAAAAAAAGAAAAAATAAATGTTTCATTTTGCAAATAATCATTATAACTTGTTTAATCTTCTTTCATTTATATTCGGATAAATTATTTTTTCTAAATATTATATATATTTTTTATACATTAGATATATGTATCTTTTACTTCAACATTATTCATTATTCATGTTCAGACTTTTACCGTTTTAATTTATTTTATTAGCATCTTATAACTATGGATAAATGCATATCTTAAGGCAATCATATTTCATTACACCGTCTTGATTATTTTTTGCTTGTCTGGTATAGTGATGTCTATTGATTATAGTAATCAGAGTGTAAGTCTTGACCAAGTGTCTTAATCACGGATCACTTGGGTCACGGATCGTATAATCTCAATTTATTATAAATTTCTCGCGATCATAAAATATTATGGATCTACATACAGAAAAATAAATGATAGTTTGATAAAGAAGGAAAAAAAACAAGAAAAATTCGCTCAATTACAAATGTATTGAAACGTAATTATGATCAACCTCTTTTCCGTTTCGCAAAATTTATTTATGGGAGAGTCCTGCTGGAGACAGTAATTATATATTAACATTATATATTATATATTAACATTCTTACGATCCCTTTTCTACGAAATGAAAAAAATCGCTTCTCCATTGTCGCTGCGAGAATCGAACATTGTTAATCGCAAATTATGTAACGTAATTACTATTATATTATGCCACGCGATTATATGAACTCGCACGATCGATTTCATAATTGTTTCAAGAATCAAACAGATTTAATCGCGCGTGTTCTATCAGCACAATTTTATATAAATAATAAAAAAAGGAAAAAAACAATTTTAATTTATCAATTGAAAATGTCACAGTTTTATCAACTGCAGAAAAAATATCCTGATTATATTTTTTATTCAGAAAGAATAAAATATTTTCAGATCTTCTTCCATCGTCTATTCATAATCTAACGATTTCCCAATTGCAGTTTGCCCGCAATTACAATCTCCGTTCTCCATTCGCGTTTGCGAAATCGTGCTCGACTCGCGATTATGCATCGCCGTTTTGTGACCCTATGTAGCACAAGATGTTTCTGTGGCGATTTATCGTTTCAAATCGAGTCTAACAATAACGGTCGAAAGATATCGGAGGAATTCGGATCATACGACTGTGTTCATTCGTTGCTTTACAGATGGATTCTGACAATAGCGATTAAGATCAGCTGAGATTCACACGGTTTCGCGACGCTGTCAATTGCAGCAATTTTCTTAGCAGAGTAAACGAGGCGTGAATTCAAGGACAAAGTCGGCAGAATGTCATTCTTGTGTTACAAATTTCATACTAATGTTGAAGTATGGATTTACATACTCGGAAAGAATGATTTTGTTGAAGTATTTAAAAATTTAGGTAGATACAGATATGAAAATAATTTTGTTGGACCATCAAAATAATTATGTATTATGCTTAAACTGATTGAAGAATGGTTGCTAGAATGTTAAAACTTTTTGCAGTAGTACTCTCATCATGCTTAAGTTTCCTATGTAATTATTTTGATGGTTCAACAAATTTATTTTTTCACATCTGTATCTAGCTAAATTTTTAGATAAGTCAGTAAAACTGTTCTCTCTGTGTAACTGTTAAATTTTACACTGATTTTATGTAACAATTACGTTCTGTTACTTTAATTTTAATAACAATGATTGTATACTGTATTAAAGAATTTTTGCAGAACATATGATAAAATTGCATGATAAGAAAGTGGTAATCACATATATTTTATAAAAATGAACACTGTTGAGTAATTATAGATAGCTTTAACAAATTTTAAATGCATGAAGAGTCTAAAGGTTATGGTACACAAAATATTTAAGCAGAAAATAAATCAATATTTTAGATTTGCTACTATTTACGTTATTGACTTATATCTCTATAACTGTAGTGCATATTGGTTATATGATTATATCTAACTACCTTATGTTTTATGTGTAACTTTAAATAGCTTTAAGTTGGGAATAACTTTCGCAATGTATAAAATGTTCCAGACATTTCAAAATGTTATTTCTAATGTTGACGGCGTGTCTTCTCGCCGTTACTCACGCCGGATGTCCCATGAGGCCAACGGTGGAACAAACTTCCGCGAGCAGGACAGCAGGCGATGGTGGTTACAGGATTCTTATCAGCGGACAGAATGGATACATTCCAAATGCAATTCATACAATTAGTTTGCAAGGTTGTGTATATTTAAAAGATTATCTAAAAAAATTAGTAAGATATAGGAGACGGAAGAAAGATTTCGATAAACGCAAAAAATAAAAAAATTTGTGAATTGTTTTTATAATTGTTTTTATAATTGATATTTTAGGATCACAAACACACGAAAGACTGCAACAATTCACGCGCTTCACGCTCACGGTGACTTCGCAGCATGCGCCGAATAATCCTTTGGCTCATGTCGGTTACTTCCAACTGTTTCCGGATTCCTTGACTACCTTTAACGAGGATTGCATTAACACGATCTCCGAGGCGACCGATTACCCGAAGTCTGAAGTGCGAATACAACCCAGACAGCACACAATATTTATAAAATATTTACAAAATATTTATAAACATTTATAAGATATATTTTAAATATTTTGTAAATATTTTTGTGGTCTTAGATTGCACAGATCATAAATATTTATTATAAATATTATGAAATATTTATTGTAAATGTTATAATAAATGTTATGAAAATTATATAAAATATATATGAAATATCTATATAACATTTCAAAAAATGAATATTAAAATATTTATCATAAATATTCTGTGCTATTTGGAAAGCAAATATGTGTGACTCTTTTAAAAAATTGTAGAAAAATAAAAAAGAAATTAATATACTTTTATTAATATACTTTATTAATATATCTTTCTTATAAATATATTTTTTTACTAATATGTAAAATATTCTCAGATTTTCCGTATAAACCTTTATAGTATATTTGAGCTGAAATAAGAAAAAATGTTATATAAACATATATGTATTAAAACTATTTATTAAAAAGTTGTAGTAATATATATGAAATCTACAAGAAACAATTTTTTACGAGTCTAAGTTTTACCCATGTCAATACAAGCTTGGTATCAATGTAATGGATTGACGAAGATACATTTACTAGAAGCGACATTTTCCATTTTTGTTTCAATCAATGTGTAGTCATATGAAAATCCATATACTGTTCGAAAAAGTTTTTCTACGTCAGTTCAATTGTAGTGTATGGGCGAGCATGTATAAACATTTAAATGAAATAATCTCTTGCAGATTTCTGTAACGCATATTATTCTGCAGCATATTTTTGTAACTTTCATAACTTAAAGCATTTTAGGATCTATACATATATGGTATATTTTTTTTCTTAATTATTTCAGCTTATAGAATATACTGTTGAAGTCTGTACGTAAAATATCTGGGAATATCTTATATATTAATAAAAAATATTAGTAAAAATGTATTAATTTCTTTTTTACTTTTCTATTTATTTAATAATTTATCCGTGAAAGCCTAAAAAGTGTTAATAATTTATTTTCTTGACAGATCCAAGTAATGTGGCGGGCACCGCAAGCTGGCTCCGGATGCATCATTTTCACCGCGATGATTTTGGAGAACAACGTACGATGGTACGCGGAAGATGGTGCTCTCATTAAGACTGTTTGTGAATTGACAAACACGGGAGTCGACAGTTTAAACGAAACCAGATGTTGCGCGTGCGACGAAGCAAAGTACTCGGTAAGATATAAAATTTCGACAAATTTGACAGAAATGTAAAAATTAACATAAAAATTTTATATCTTTTCAAATTTTATAAGTAGTATAATTTTTGTTTTTATTTTAATTTATATGCCGACGTTACGATGGCAAATGCATAAGATGCAATCAATCTTATTTTTTCAGCTAACTATGGAGGGCATTTGGTCGAATAGAACGCACCCGAAAGACTTCCCATTTTCTGCCTGGTTGACTCATTTTAGTGACGTCATCGGTGCATCACACGAGCCAAAATTTTCCTTCTGGGGTAGAGATCATGTCGCGACGGATGGTTTTCGACAATTAGCTGAGTGGGGATCCGCGACGGGCGTGGAAGCGGAATTGAGAGAGAAAGCCAGGCACCTTAGGACGCTTATTAAAGCTGCCGGTCTATGGTATCCTAATGTTAATACAAATACAACGACGAGCTTTAGGTAAACATAGTTCGCTTATGAAATATGCATTTAGCAATATATTAAAATCATTTGGTTTCGATAACTGTATAATGAAATATATATAATTAGTAAATTTTATATTTTAAATAAATTACTTCAAAAGAGTATTGTCAAAAAAGTTTGGATAGTAAAAACGAAACAATTGAACACCCGTCGCGATTATACACTTTTTAAATGTCTATATTGAATTAAGACATTGATTTTTAATATTTTCCTTAAAAATAATAACAAATTTTTCAACAATTTAAATACGTCAAGTTCAATCTTAATATCTTATAATCTCGAATAATCTTTAATTTTTTAAACTATCGATTTTATTTTCACTTCTCAGGGTAGATCGAGGACACCCTTTTCTCTCGGTGGCTTCGATGCTGGGTCCTTCTCCCGACTGGGTGGTAGGAGTGAACAAATTGAATCTTTGTCAGAAGGACTGCACCTGGACGAAAAGTATGATAATAGATCTTTATCCTTGGGACGCCGGCACCGACAACGGCATTAGTTATATGTCGCCAAACTCCGAGACGAAACCGCGCGAAAAAATGAAACCGATAACGACACTTTATCCAGAGGACCCGCGATCACCGTTTTATGATCCGTCTGGTAGGCCCATGCAACCACTGGCCAGACTGTATTTAAATCGGGAGAAAATTATTCCACGCGGATGCAGCGAGGAACTTCTGCAGCAGCAAGTAACTGATTTGGAAGTGGCCGAAAATACTGAGGATACGTCGAGACGTACGCATGTTATGTCATATTTTTAACAGTCGATCTTTTTTGAAAAGCACTCAGAGAAAAACATAGTGATGACAACTATAAAGGTGATAAGTTTTATATATGGGATGTACACATAGTTGAATAAACTATTTTATAGTTGTAATAACTATAAAAGTTTCTATATTAATCTTTATATTAATTCTACATACAAAATTTATATAATTGTCGTCTGTCTTTTTCTCTGAGTGCAGTCTCAGAGGAACTTAGAAATAATTCTTGTTAGTGCTTTATCATCCACGATATTTTAATGACATTGTCAAGTCAATAGAGATTTTGAGTTTACTCTTCATTAAAGTTTGAGTTCATTAAAGTGAACTTCATCTTGGTAATTTAATTTCATTTTACTTTGAATTTTAAGCGGAATGCCAGACGACGGATTATTCGCCGTGGTCGTCGTGTTCAGTGACCTGCGGTAAAGGCTTAAGGATGCGCACGAGATCGTATAGAATACCGGAGAAAGCTACTATGTTCAACTGTAACAGACAGTTGGTTTCGAAGGAGATGTGTGTCGCGTCTATTCCTGAATGCTCGTGAGTACGTTCACGGTTCCTTTGTCGCGTTTTAATGAAGATTGAAAAACTGTCGAAGCCCAATAAGGATGAAATTGACGCGAATATAATATGTATTTCATGGATCAGCCGCTAAATAAATTTGATTCTTTACGCATACGTGAGATTGATATATTATTTCAGGGGAGAGGAGGAGAGTGAAGATGATATAATTTCGTCGCAGAGCGATCCACTTTGCGAAATCACCGAATGGAGCGAATGGTCCGAGTGTTCGAACACGTGCGGGATCGGTTTGAAAATGCGAACAAGGAGGTTCCGCGACCGTCGCGGACGCAAACGGTGCCCGCTTGTGTCGCTCGTCGAGAAGGAGAAATGCATGGAACCACCGTGCCAGGCGGGAACGGAAGAGTTGCTCGATCCTGTGTGCAAGGTACGAATTTTCAAAATCTATTTTGCCGCACTTAGAGAAAAATATAATAATGGCAATTATAAAGGTGTCAACTATACAATTTTTATATGTAGAATTAATGCATATGTTGAATAAACCATGTATTTTATAGTTATTACAAACGTAATTATTTTGTTTAACTATACGAATTCTTCGTATAAGATTTGAATAGTTGTCACCTTTATAGTTGCTATATCTTTCCCTTGAGACAAAATAAAGATTCATCGTATAATATTAATATAATATGTAATATGTAATTAATTATAATAATTTACACAGTTCGATAACGATTTAAGGTGACGGATTGGTCCGATTGGTCGCCATGTAGTGCTTCTTGTGGCAAAGGAGTGAAACTGAGAACCAGACTGCTGATAGTCGACCCATCGCTGCAAGCGGAATGCTCCTCGCGCGTGGAATTACTCCAGCAAAGGCCGTGTCTCGTTCAATCGGACTGTACATTTGACATGGCAACGGCAAAAGGTAAAAAACATCAGAAACTTGAATGTTTAAAAAACAAGGCTTTTTCCTTCGACAGTTAAGATTAACTCTCCGGAACTGACGCTAAAATCTGTGACACAGTTACTGACGTAGGGTTCGTAAGAACCATTTAATTTGTATTGATTGAAAGACATTAATTAATTTCAAGGAACCTGATATAATTCGTGTAAAAAAGAATGACTAAATTTATTTTAATAAGAATAATACAAATTTATAAATGTAACATAAAGAAAATTGAATTATTTGACATTTTTGCGTAAAACGGCAATACCATAATAGTAGATACAAGAATTAAGAATTAACAATAAATTTAAATATAATAATGTATTTTTTATCTAATATTATTTCACAAAAAAAACTGATTACTTTTATTCATCATCAGTATGTTATTAAAATAATCAGGAGGGTCCAATGAACTCACCGTTATCTCCGGAGAGATATAATTGAGTGGATCCAACAAGCTCCCCAGCTCCGGAGAGTTAATCTTTGCAACATGCATCAATTTTTGCAGTAAATTCAGAAAAGTGTTACATCTCTTTTTACAGTCGTGTGTATGGAGGATGCAGATCCTGGCCCGTGCAGGGGTTACTTCCAGAGGTGGGCTTTCAACCCGCGGAAATTAATGTGTGTACCTTTTGCATACGGCGGATGCCGTGGCAACCGGAATAATTTCCTAACGGCGGACGAGTGTAGCAATACTTGTGATATTGTAAGTGACAACGTTTCATCAAAAGTCAACACGCGCGAACGGGATGGAAGTGTCATCTCAATTCTCGTTCTCAGGTGCGAGTTGCTCTTACTGGCCAGGCCTTTAACGAGACCATAAACCGAGATCAAACACCTACCGACTCGTTGACTCCTCCTCCGCCACCTCCTCCCGTGGATTGTGTGGTGACTCGTTGGTCAAATTGGTCGCCGTGTAGTGTCACTTGCGGCGTTGGTCGCGTCACAAGTTACCGAACGATCGAGGTAAGCTAATTGGCCGCGGGCTGTTACGTGCGTTATTAGTATTTGCGGAATTTGCGGTATACGTGGCTCGCTGGAATAACATAAACTGTTGTGCCAGTATTATTAACGAAGTACGACGAAGCTTTTATACATACATAACACTGTTACGAGACCTTTCCTAATAATATCATATCGGTCTACGCAATTAGCAAGAAGCTGCAAATGGTGGGCGTCCCTGTCCGAAGAAGCTGCATCGTCGTTATCGTTGCGAGCTGGCTCCGTGCGAATGACAAATCAACAAGACGCTCTTTACTCGATGACATTTAAATTAGGATATACGTAGTAAATTAAGGAATATACTCAGGCACAGAATCTGTCAAAAAAAGATAGTTTAATTACATCTGCAAAGAGGTAAATCTCTGTAAATTTTTAATCTTATTGTTAGAACGTACGAGACCTAAGCCATATACACGAATGCATAACGTGGATTATTGTGTCCCGTGCGCAATTTGATTATTTTTTATATTTCTCCGCTCCCGATGCTTTTTCTGTATGCCAAAAAGCTTTACGGTAACGAAAATTAATTTGATTAAAAATGTTTAAGTATCAAAAACCATTTTGGATTATCGTGTGTATTGCGAATGAAATATTTTAATGACTTTACACATTCCACTTTACGAAGAGATCCACGTTGAACATTCAAATTAATATTAATCGATGCCTTCATAGACTATCAATGTGTTTTACTGCCAGTCCTCTATTGCCAATATTTGTCGCCTTTTAAAGTAATCGCATTACAAATATTCCATGCTGTATTCTTTTTACAAAGTGCTGGATACGAAATAAACGGATTATCAGAATGATATTTTATTAATTGTTATTTGGTTTATATCGCCTGCTAACTCCCATCGAATTTCAATCGATACTACAAAACGCGGAGTCGATATAATCGCTTTATATCGGATGGAACGTTTGTCTCTAATAACATATCCGTTCAAATTTAATGTATCTGAATCCCGTCGTTTGCAAATTAATCGCATCCATCAAACGAGGCGGTTAACCATTATATTAAATTTGTGGTGTTGCACGGCGGAAAAAAACAAAGAGCCTTTTTGGACAATTTGCTAACGTTTTGACACAAATAGAAAACGCGGAAATTAAATTCGAAGCTGGATAGCCAATTTATTCCCACCTCTCGTTATTTTCGCGTTTTAGCTGTACGTTTTTGAAATGATACGTCGCCTCGAGCAACATACGAATTGCTCGAACGATTAATGCCACAAGTGTCGCGCCTGTTATTCTTATGTTCCGACGTATAAATTTCTTACGTAGAAATTCATGCGTCCATAATTCACTACGGATTCTGAATTGCGATCAGCTGTCTTTGGAAGATGTCCAAAGTCGCATGCAACTCCAAGAAGTCTTTTGACGCCGTAGCGGTTTTCTATTATTTCTCGTATGTTTTCGCGCATGAAGTCGCATGTGACGTAGAAACACGAACAAATGGAACTACTTCATGCATCTGTAATCGTAAGAAAATTCGATTGGATTCGCAGGACTGTCGTTTTATTCAAATAATTCCGTTTTATTGTAATAATTTCGCGCTTTATCTCGCGCTTATTGAAATCAGTTGGTTCCACTTGCGTTTTATTCGCTTGTTTTCCTTTTCTTTCAGAACAAACACTCGCTACTTATCACCAATTGGGAAATCTAACTTCACACAGTTACATTAATAATCTCATATAAATAATACACGTAGGTGGTATAATGACTAAATCACTGTACATCTACCAAGAACGCCAAACCGTCATATTATGTTTCTGAGATTATACATTAGAGGTGTGCAAATAGTTCGAAATAGAATCGAATACTATCAAATTTTAAAATCAAATTTTACTGAATTCGATTTGATTCGTTTTCGAATCTGAGAGATTCAAAATCGAATAAATTCGAAATTTCGAATCGTCGGTGGTTTGATTTCGAATTAATCGCTTATTTTATTTGTTTCATTTATGCACAGCTCTCTTAAATTAAACGTGATTTATTTTCTCGTTTATTTGAAAAACCTGAAAATACTTTATTACTTTTAAATTAGCTTTTAATGTAAATCCGAGAAATTTGATTTGAAATCGATTCGTTTCCGAACATGTTATCAAAGATTAAATTTGATTCGATTCGACCTCATAAATGCCAGGGAATGGAAAGTTACTTTTTAAAAGTAACAAGTTACCGTTACTAGTTACCGATTTATAAAAGTAACTCGTTACAGTTACCGTTACTTGAGAAAATAACTTTTCGTCACTTTTCCATTACTTTTTAAAAATCGATGATCATCAATCACAGCGAACGGGCCTAAGAGCTTTCTAGTCTCAAGTGCTATGAGTGCTTGTGTCCAATCATACCGTACTACCGTGTCCAATCGTGTGCAAAGTAACGATAAAAATAACTGTAAAATTCGTTACCGTTACCAAAAAAATATAACTTTCTTACCATTACAGTTACCAAAGAAAAAAAGTAACGCAGTTACCAGTAAAGTTACCAAAAAAGTAACTTGTAACTGTAACTTCGTTATAAGTAACGAGTTATTTCCATTCTCTGACAAATACTACATTCATACATTTCTATTATATACTAGCTCTCTATGCAATTAAACAATAAAATTTTCTTTTATAGTATAATATAGGATTTTTCAATTAGTGTGCCGCAATATACTAGTGTATCATAAAGGATCTTCAAGTATGCCGCGAAAAGATGAAAAAAGTATATAAATTTAAAAATAAGTGAAAAAGCGAGTGAGGTGCAAAGTAAAAAGTATTGTAAAAAATTACTTAAATTATATTGTGTTTACTTTAACCTTACATTTTAACCAAAATGATATAATTCATTGCTATAAAGTCACTTTCATAATACAATAAAACAAAAACTTTGGAATTTTATTTTTTATTTTTATGTACTGTTTTGGAGGTATCTGGTAACATATCTAAGCTGAGCATCGAAATCTGCATTTAATATTGTACCTCAATGAGTTTGGATCGTTATTTAATGTGCCGCGAATTCAACGAAAAATGCTGATGTAATGCAGCATGCAACTTCTTAAATTCATCACATAACTCTCATTTAAAATTTACCTTTGCTTAAATCGCTTAATTATTTCGCTTAATTAACTCGTTCAGATCCTGTTGACCCTGTTTCATTTAAAGAAATATTACTTCGGCGGTTTGACCCGCCTGGTAAATATATAGTGCTTCTCTCAATAATGACTATATATCTCTTATGCTGTTATCGAGATCACGAGAAAATCGATGAAGAATAGGGGGACGAAGCGAGCGAGCAATTGGACAGTGCCCTCAGGGCGACTTGCTCCTCAGGAACTTACCTGTGGTGCTGATCGCGCGGTTCGTTTGACATTAATGATAGTAATAATTGTTATTAACGTACATACACGTAATATCTAGGAAATAGTACGTAATATCTAGGACTCTCGTTCCTTTAGGCCACTACTCGACTATGTACTACCGGCGGGTTCTTTGGTCGTGCCACTTGTACCTGCTCTTCTGTGCCTCGCGAGAATCGATTCGGTTGCTCGCCGATTTAACCTGGTGTAACAAAAGATTTAGCCATTCGATAGTCTAAATATAGACGAAGAGTTACGCGTTGGATCGTTAAAAGACGACTCGTCAACAATTACGTGCTTGTAATTAACGAGCGATTAATTCTCGAAAATTTTGCGGAAATTTGAGACTTTAAAGATCCAGCCGCCTCTCTTTCACGCAATCTATTGTGCATATCTTACGGAGAAAAGTTATTGTATAATTGATTCTTTCAATATACCGCGCGTTTGTGGCCGTTCTAAACTATTATAGAATAAAAAATAATAGAAATCGTTTATTGGCAATGACTGATTATCGATTAGTTCACGTGACTAGAGTGGGATAAGTATATGGAAAAAATTAAAAGTATTGAAGAAACGATCGCTTGAAAAGAGCTAAGAGATTACGAGATTCGCTTTTCAGTAGACCAGCTCTCTGAAGATGCAATAGATTCAACATCTGTTTCAAGTAACGCACAATTCGTCGCGTCCCTCGACAGTTAATTTATAAGATAATATAACCATGTTTTTTTCATCCTTCTGTTACGAGATCTGACTGACTAGTGATCTGTTGACTAGGCTTATTTGCCACCGACTCACACGTGCCATTTCCGTTCTGGCAGTAGTAATAATAGTAGTAATTCTCAGTACAATCTACCGTCGATCGTTGCTCAAAGACTGCCGCGAGAAGGTACTGCGATCAATCATATATGATATTCCATCATCCCAACTAATTTAAAAAATAATTGAATAGTAGTAATACAAACGACATAAAATTTGATCTTGTATACAACTGCTGCTCGAGAAAATTTAAATTGAGAAAGATAAAAATATAAATTTACAACAGTCATAGAAACGCTCCTTCACGTGTATAAAATTAAGAATATAAAAATAAATATATACAAAATATAAGTAATAAATATGACATACAATAATCTTGAAGTGAAATTTTGAGCCGTTATTTCATTGAAGGAAGTATTCGTAGTAAAAGGATTGGTGAAGGGAAGAGGACGAGATCCTAATGAAAGATAGGATTTTTTCGAGATTTCCGATCGACGTCGCTCTACGTTTAATCGGCATGGCGCGTCGCGTCGCGAGAAAGGCATCATTGTGCGTCTGCCGGCGTCGAGACGGTCGTGCCGCATACGTGCATGCGTGCACGATCGTCGTCGACGTCGTTCTAGCCTCATGGCCGTTGTAAACGAAGCTCGTAGCTGAGTTCCGATTGATGCTTCCTGTGTCAGCTGGTCGGCCGCCGCCCGTTGGCGACATATCCGTTTCCTCAGAGCCAGCCGGCGGACACGTCATGGCCGGAAATCGGCTCGATGCCGGGAAGACGTTGCAGCTGTGTCGCCGATCCGTTTCGCTTTGCCGTGATCGACGTCGAGCCACTTGCCACTACGCTCTCTTCGGTGGTCGACGGTGTCAGTGGAACGATAATACCTAAAAAAAAAGAAACAAGGATGGCTACACATTGTACATATATAAATTTCTTTCTTGTTTATAAATATCGCACTTAACAAAAAAACGTTTAATAATATTATATAAATTCTGAGATCAAAAATAAAAAGATTCAAAATGTCAAATTTAACACAGTAAATATAATTTCTAAAAAATTATCTCTTTATCATATAAAACACGGTTTTAGAAAATTTTTATTGCGAAATAATATTAAGTTCCTGGTTTCAAAAACCCTTATAAAACAAGGTTATCTTTAAGTTTCTTTGTTAAAAGATTCCCATCCTTAGAGGATTAAATTTATAATTAATAAAAAACTGTATAGACATTTCCAAGTTTAAATAACCATTTTTAATGTGCCTACATATACCTTGTTACTCTAATTTATAATATGTTCTAGTTATGAGCTCAAATAATTACTCGAAGCAAGTGGCGAAGAGATAATGCATGATAGTTATAAGCACGATAACGCACGTCATAATTGGTTCATCCTACACCTGTATGCTCTCGTGAAACAACATCCCATGCAATAATATCAGTTCACCTTGCTGCGCGTTAATGTGCTCGCTGATGGCGATTTCGACGACATCGAGACTGGGTTGCTGGCTCTGCGTAACCTCGTGCCGTCGAGACGTCGTTATTAACGAATGCGGCATTAATTCCGGACCTCGAGTGGGCACGCTGCTGGCGCGTTGCAGCTGTTTCTTCGAGGAGATCCTGGCCGCCAGGACGGTGGCAACCGAAGACGTCGTGCTCGAGTCTGCGGGATTCGTGTTGGTGCTGCTAGTCATCGCAGGCGTAGATGACCTCGAGGCGGAGAACTTTTTGCGCTTCTTCCTCAGGGCGGCCAAAGCCGGGCCCAGGCCGTGGGTAAACATGTGATGCGCCTCTTGATGCTGTGCCTGATGATGTGCGTGATGAGAATGAGAGTGATGCTGAGAGCTTTGTACATCGTGACTAGCACCCTCCAAGGAGGACTTCGAGTCCGAGGAGCCTTCGGATCGTGAGCCGCCATCCTCGGACGCCGGAGAATATACCGAGTCCTCGGAACGAGATCTACCTGGGAAGAGAAAATGACGTTTGTTTATTTATAAAGTGACTTCATTATTATTCCATTTAAATAAGAGATTAATATGGAAGAGAGAATCATAACTGACGATGTTATTAGAATATCTAATTACTGAGTGTTCAGATTAAATGCCTGTAAATTATTGTGTTAAGATTTTCATGCTCGTTATGTAATTTAAATATTATTATGTATTATGTTTGACTCTCGTTTATTACCGGTTATTATATCGAAATTTTACGTATTTGCGACAGTTTTTCTACTGATTAGTTGTTGTTACGTTATGTTACATCGAATTAAACACTCTTTGTGACTTTGTTTTCCTTTCTCAGCTATTCGAAGATTACTTCTCGATATCGCTTAAACGTCCTTTATCAGTCTTCTCGGAATAAATCATAAAAGCTCATCTCTATCTTTATTCACTATAACACCATTCCGCAATCTTTTTGCGCTTTCGATCTAATTTCGACGTCATCAATTGAACCGTAGATTCTTTACAATTCTACCTCAAATATACAAAATATTAGAAAAATAGGAGACGAAAATACATTGATAACGTATTTTAATTTAATAGTATGAAATTGTTTATTCTATTTTCTTCTTTTTGTTCATTAATATTTAATTTTCGCTCCAGGAACGCTCCAAACTTCAACCACATTAATATATATATATATTAAATATTCAAAATATTTTTAAAAAACTTAAAACTTTAAAACTTTTCAAAAACTTTATAAAAATACAGTTTAAAATCATATTTCATCTTTTTAAATAAAGAGCGTACTAATATCCATTTTATACTTTCGCATTCATTCAACGAATACTATAACGGATATCGAAATAATTGGAGAATCAGTAATATTAAACAATAATATTAAACATCAATATTAAACAAAATATTAATGCGAGAAAATCTTCGACTTACCGATTAGTCTGGAGACTCTTCCAGCTTTCGCAGCTTCGATTAAAGTGCCCCAACGCTTCTTTCGAGAGCTACTTCTGATGCTGTGGCTTTGTCGCGATCCTGTAGCCAGCCCGGGCACGCTATTAGTGCTGGTATGATGTGGGCTCTTCTTCGGGGTTGTGCCTGGTCCAAATATGCCACTCAGGGTCGAGCCAAATAAGTCATGATGAGAATTCTCATGTTGCGCTTGCTGAAGGGACGCGATGAATTCAGCTACGGGCGGTAGGGTGCTGCTTCCGCCCGGTTGTGGCCCGATATTGAAACCCTTCATTAAACGCCGCTCCTTCTGACGGTTTTTCTTGCCACCCGCACCTACGGACAGCTCTTTAAGGCTACCGTCTAGGAAACAAACGAAAAATCGACGAGCAGCCTCAAGCAATCTACTAAAAAAAAAACTCAAAAAAACTTAAATGGCTAAGAAAAAACAAGAGAAAATCTAGAGTTACGTATAATATTCTAATTATAGCTTAACTAAACTATAAATAAATTATATATTAGATTATACAAATTATATAAAACGCCTTGTATGTATATGACACTAGTTTACAAATGAATAATTTTTAGTGTAAGACAAGGAACTTTTTTTAACGCACTTTGAGACGCTGAGTTCAAATTTATTGCCAAAACAATTCTATCAAATCGAATTTTTAAGATAGCATTTCTTTTTGAATAATGTGGATGCAACAAATGATGAGCAAGACAAACATTTTTATCAGGATTTGATGATAATTGAGAAATGTTATAAGGGATATTAAGACAAAAATATGCTAAGTGATTTCTGCTGGACTTTAATACGTGAAAGTTGTATAAAATACAAAGTCATATAAAAATTAAACGCTCAATACTTCTGAATTGTAATTTCAATAAAATTATAATTGGAAAAAAATGTTTTTTTTATAACTCAAAAATTTGATGGAAATATTTCGATGGCAGATGTAGGCTCATCATAAAAAATTAGAAAACAATCTTCGTATGCTCTTGCACACAAAATCTTGTAAACTAGTGTAATGTGTGTTATGTTAATTGTTCAACATATGACAAATAACTGCAACAAATATGGAAATAATATCGAAAATATTAGTTAAATTTTTCTTTATTTTTTAGGATTAACAGATAAGAATGAATAAAATAACTTTTACGCTGTGCTTTCTAAATCCTTCTGAAATTCTTTATCGGCTGCAAAAATTTTTCCCTTTTACAATGTAGTGTATGCAAAAATAAAAATTAACAAAAAATGAAAATAAAAATTTAGTTTTAATATACAAGATTGAAATTAACGATTATAACTATTGGTTCAGCACATAGAAAAAGAGCAAATTAATAAATTAAATTACTACGTGCTCCTCGCCCTGATGAAGTGAACTGCAAGGTTCACGAAACGTTGGCATTCCAAGAATGGATCTGAACACGGAGAAAACCCGCGAAACGCAAGATTGTCACATAGGTAACACCCGTGAAAGCCTCAAGAATATTACTACGATAATATTTATTTATGCAAAATTTGTGCGGATCACGAATAAAAATTATTCTATGTATTTTCTCATTAAGGCGAATTGGAAATTTAATGTGATACAGGGTCATCGGGTAAATTCTTAATTAGAGTAATTAGTCCCGAAAGTTCGGATGAATAATGACGCTTTCTTTAGCTTCAAATTACAAGAGGTTACTTTTGGTTGAATAATACGAGCGTTACTGCAAATAAAATAATGATTGGTATTCCCAAGCAGAATCGCGGAGTTAAATTCGAAGTTTCGACGCTCCACGTGATGCGATTAACAATTTGTGGATTACCAACAACTGCACGCCGTCGTTCGTATAATTCTCATCGTTAACTTGGAAACACATCCGTTTGTCGCCGAATATACTTTTTGTTTAATATCAAAATAATGGGCGCGTTCAAGTTGACAAAGCGACTAGCCTGCTCGCCGAGCAAATAAACATAATTGGTTGTTACTTATAGATCCAACTAGCCACTTTGCCGTCTTGAACTCGCCCAATGTTTAATTGCACACTTTCGAAAGACGAGGGATTAATAATTCCATTCCGCTCGCATATTTTACGAATATTCATTTTCATATTCAATACCCTCTACGACAATATTGTTCTGACTAATAAAAATGAGAATCCGTTCCTTTCAAAGAAAATTGAAAACACCCGCGATCAATATCCGCTGTACATACACACTTGTTTCTTATGGTAGCAAATACTGTGCAACTGAATCAATGCTTTCCCATGCAAGATATATGCAAGGCAATTTATTTTCTTCTCACTTTTCAATTCGACTTACCGGTACCGCTGCTCGCTGCAGTGGAAGTGTTCATGCCGGAATTCTTCAGTATCTCGATGAGCTCGCAACGAAACGCACTGATATCTTGTTTGATCTCGTTCACGTCATCCTCCGTGACACCCTCGCCCTCCGCTTTGCGTTGCTCCACCGTGACATATCGTCTCACCAAATTTCTCATGATACTCTGATATCTAAAGTCCCGCTCGGAAGCTTGTTTGACCTTTCGCTAAGATAAAAACCAGAAATCGAAACCCTTCAACTTCCAAAGTTTTCGTTACAAAGTGCACGTTACGCTTTATATAGTACGCCCCAGATTTGTCGAGCCATTACGGATCACGGATTCTTTGATGTACTAGATTTTCCCTTAGCAAAAATGTCGAACGTTGCTACGATATATGTTTTATCATGCATCTAAAAATAACTAATTATCTGAAAGTATATCTACAAAATATTATATCAAATTGTATAACGATTATAAATAAAAGTTCTTTACACTTAACTTTAAGTTAATAAATCTAAATAACATGTAATATTTGCTGTATTTAAGAAGTTTTTATCTTTAATCGTTTAACAGTTTGATATAAGATTTCTTGTTATTGTTGAGAATTGTTTCTAAGTCCTTCAAGGAATCTGTATAAAATAAAAACTTTGTAAGTCCGAAAAACTTTGTATACTTATATCTTATGCTATATGATCTGTAAATATGTATGTATGGTAACAGAATCGTTGCGACTTATAATGACAAAAACTTTTCTTTGAATTTAATATCCCTTGCAAATTCTAAAAAAAAAAGATGTACGAACTTCTCTTTTGACACTTGAATTTCCGCTCTAAATATTCTTACTACATAAGAACCTAATTTTAAAATCCAAAACGAAGCCGGAGTACCTCGGAGAAATTCGTAAAAAGCATCTTTCATGACAGAATACATATTTCAATATCCTCCAGCATTCACGAATCCCTCGCGATACGCTAGTATTGACATCTTATTCTGTAGCTCCCTTTGAATTGGGCAAGCGATAAAAATTCAGATTCGAAAATTGAAGGTGGCTCGACTCTCCGGGGAATTTTCTTACAAAAGCGACGACGTCGCGGATGCTATTCTAGTCTTGCAAAAATCCAAGAACTGTCGTTCCTACCCTGATTGTTCGCATGTGCTCCTTTTTGGCTGCCCTGCTGTGTCCACTTTTTTCTCTTCGGAGTTGGTATGATGTTAAACGGTGGCGGAACGGTACCGCCTTCCTCGAAATAGCTGATCCAGAGCTTGCTTCTCGCGAACTTCCACTCGACGTCGGCGCGTTCCTAATTACGAGCAGCGAATCATCCCGCTAATTAGTCTCGGCTAATTATAGATGCAAAAGTACGGCGGGGTACGATTTACCGTGTGTTTTCGACGTCGTTTTAGTGTTTCAAGAATCTCGCACTCGTTTTTGCTAATTTTCACAGAGAATAAATGTTGCCTTTATAGTATTATTAATTCATTTAATGCAACATTTAACGTGAATAAAGTTTAGGGATTTATTTTCTCATTTTCTTCGTTTCTCTTGGGTTTTTAGTTAAATTAAACCTCATATATACAATAACGTTTGTAAATAAATTTCGCGGAAGGTGCTGCACTTACCGAGATTAGTTGATAGGAATGATTCATCATGGCAATCAGGAGATTCAGGAGGACGACGATGTTAATAACTGAGTAAGTACCAAACATTAACATGCCCCAGAACCTGGTGAATACCTTGATACCGTCTAGTTCGAAACTGTCGAGATCCACCAGGCCAAAAACTGCCCAGAAGAGCGTTTGTATTGTCTCAAACAGACTACCCAAAATTCATATTATGTATTATCCGAAATAGCAAAAATAAGCACATAAAAATTTAACTTAAAATAATAGAGAAATTCTATATATAGTTATAAAATACAAAATATTTATATCGTAACTATACAATTTACTAAACGAAAATTAAAAGTAAACTGTAAGCTTGTAGACGTTTTGACTTCGAATAATTTGTTTGTATTGAGTTTGTCAATACTCAATTTCATTAATTATCATACTAAAGAGGATTCAAATCTAAAGTCGAAATGTCTGCAGGTTTACAGTTTATTTTTAATTTCGTTTAGTAAACACATCCTAATTTTGTTCACAAATTTAATCATTTTTTATAAATATATATAATTTATGCTCTAACAACCGCGAAGATGCCTCAAATAGACATTTTGTTGCATTAAATAAATTCTTTTCAGTTTTATATACCTATTGTTTAGAAAGCAAATATTCAATTAAAGAAGTTATTACGTACTTTGCGAATCGACGCCAAACAGTGCACGCGTTAGGGTCAGCATTGGTTGTGCTAACATTAGCCGCATATGACATCGCTGAGGGACACTGTTTTTTCTCCATGACGGCATAATACCAGAGAAGTTGATTGAGACCTATAATAAACATTTCCTTTTATATTAATCTTACTGCAATATATCTTATTGTGGCACTTTTATTTTATTTACCGCACGAGAAAGCGAAGAGGACCAACACGTAGAGGAAGAAGAATTTCATAATGTCCATGACCATCCTCGACAAGGAAACTTGCAGCGGACCGAGATGAGGATTTACGGAGAATATGTAGACGAGTTTTAGCGAACTGTAATGCGATATTATTTGCTGCTTTTAATCTGGATAATACAAAGTATTTATAATTCCCTACATTAACTTCTCCGACTCAGCTTTTACGTTATGTCGCATTAATTCTCCAATGCAATCAAAGATTCATTTGCACTTAAAGTGCGATGCACTGATCATTCAAAGCACGTTTCAAACGCGTTTGCATACATTTCAAAGTTATCGCAACTAAATTGTAATTGAGATATATCATAATTTGTTTTATTATTTTGCAACGGAGAGAATAAAAAGATTTAGTAACGTTTATAAGATATATGGAAGGAGATTAATGTTTCTAGCTTGTATCGCATCCTGTCCTAAGTTTCCTGTACATCGACAACAGAGATGCACGATCAGGCACTCGCAATTTATTACCTGAAAATGTTAGCGGCGGAGAAGAGGCCCTCAGAGATGAGCATCGGGTCCCAAGTGTCCCACTGCTCACGCTGGAGTTCGATCACCGGCACTTGATCCTTGTTCTCCTTTAGCACCCTGTAGTAAGCTACGACTCTGAGCGCCACTGTGGCTACGTATAGCGAATTCGTTACGAAGTCGATCACGTTCCACATATCGTTCACGTATTCCTCCAGGCCCACATCCCACAATTGTTTCACCTCCGACCAGATCAATCCCGACACCCAGGCCAATATAAACCTGCGATTTCGACCATCTGGTTTTGATCTTATTTCTGAACGAAAAAGACGTGCGACACGTCAAATCGTGACCTGCTTGCATAATTTATTCATCAATGAATTCCGCGCCTCGCAAATCGATTGATGTTACCAGAAATTTATTCGGAGAAGTTAGCACCTTTTCAGTAGTACCTTTTTGATATCTTTGGATTCTTTTTTCTTCTTTTCACTCTTTCTTTCACTCACAGATTTTGCTGAAATATCTAAAAATTTTGCTAGATACAGATCTGAAAATAATTTCATTTGGATCACAAAAATAATTATGTAGGATGCTCAAACTGGTTGTTAGAACATTAAAACTTTTCCAGCATTGTGTCATCAACGTTTAACCCAGGAGTATACGATCTGTCTAAAAAGTTCCGAACTGGATTCAGAAAAAACCGAAAAATAAAAAGAGATATAAATTTTATTAATAAAAACTTTCAACAAAGTCCCCTCCCTTCGATCTCAATGCATGAATACACTGCTCAGAACATTTTTCAGTTGTTGGAAGCTTTTACAGTAGTCCTTTTTTGAAATAGTCTTCAATTCACATCAAAGGCTATTTCGAAGTCAAATTCGCCTGGAGATTTAAAATGTCACCAAAATGCGTTACCTTCATTTGCATTTTTTTTTTTCAAAAGTCAAAACCATTTGCATCAAAAAAAGCGACCAACATCGTCTTGATTTTGAATTTTGTTGCCCTCACTTTTAGTTTTGCCTCCCCTGAGACCAATCGTAGATTTGAATTTTGAAATAAAATGTCAAATTTGGCAACAGTTATTCCATTACGAAAATTTGTACGAGAAAAAATCCAATGAAACCCACATTCGCCGGTCTTCAAAACATATACTAGTTACATCATGAAAAAAAATTGTACTAATAGTTGAATGTTGGTAGTAAAAAGTGCCGTAATTGTTGGAAGAACGGCGTTATTTATACGTTCAGAAAAAAATCAATCTCGGAACTTTTTAGACAAACCTGGGATATTTTTACATTCCAAACATGTATTGTAAATACATGTTTGGAGAAAACATATATTGTAAAATATTGTTTCGTATGGACATTGTTTAAAATTTTTTTCTTTTTTAATAACTATTTTTTACAAATCTTTAAATATGCAATTTTATTTGCATATTTAATTTGCATTCAATTAATTTGCATTAAAAAAAATTTTTTTTAAAAAACGTTAAATACTATTATAATAAATCGGAAATAGTCAATTATATATAATATATTATTAATAAGTGATTTTAGTGAATTAGAATAATAGTGAATTAGAATATAAAATCCCAATTGTTGTGGTATAAAACGATCGCTTCGAGTAATTGTTTATATAAAAAATATCAGATAACTACTCCTAAGTTACCAAACATTCTACATAACTGTTTTGATGATCCAACAAAATTATTTTTAGATTCGCATCTAACTAAATTTTTAGATACATCAACAAAAAAAGCTATCCTTTTCGCTCTTTTATTATCATAATCGCTCGCGGATTTACTTATTGATTTTTCACGCGAAAGTAGAATCTCAGCGATATCTTATTAATAACGCGTCAAACATAAATTTGTGATATGACAGGTCTTGTTCATCTTATTTCGATCTCGTCATCGTAAAAGAAAAAAAAGGAGTCTTCGTGATTGCATGCGCGTCTCTGGGGTTTATCTCGTTTACCACCGACTTACTATGTGTAATGCTTCTATACGTTCTATATTACCGTCTTTCGCACAAACGGAGAGTGGCATAAACCGATAGATATTACATGAATTTTACCCAGCTTTTCCCGCTTTACTTTTCTTCTCTCTCTCTCTCTCTCTCTCTCTCTCTCTCTCTCTCTCTCTCTCCTGAAGTATTATTTTTTCACTTTTACAATTTTCTATCAAAATTTTTTATACCCCTCGCGTGTAAAATCTCTCTCGTTGTTACTCCTCAGAGTTACGAAACACGTGATATCGAGTTTAACGAATAATAACATGAAACACGAATACGAGCGCGAAATTGAAGGAAACCTTACCATTCCACAATCGTTGGTGCAGCACCTCTTTTCGTCGGCGCTGGTTCGTGCTCCACGACATCATGTCCCATCCAATTACCGATCACGCTCTCTATCCGCTGACTAGCCAGTATTAACATGACTGCGCAGGCAAAATTATGCGCATTCATCATCGTTAAAAATTCAGAACAGTCGTAATTTAAATGTAAAGTCGTAACGGTAATGATAGATCGTGCAACTTGACTCAGTTGAGATAGAATTCATTTCAGCAGAGATTTAATTCGCGATTTAATATCTCAGACGTTTAATGTTAAAAGTTAGAAAGCTACGATTAAAAAACGGATCCTTAAAATCCCTTAAAATGAGAGAAAGTGTCTACATTTTAAATCTAATTAATTATAGTAATTAATGAAATTTTTCATGTCAATGGTGTAAATACATCATACAATCGAATGAAAAGCAGAAACCAAGCCAAAGATGTATCGCTCGTAGTTGAACGAGCAATTAATTTCGGGGCAGTAATGCTTCTTAGCCGTCCGAATTCCGTACATTAGTGCACGACTATTATTGGTAGCGGCACCAAAAGGTATTTGTAAACTGTTTGACGTTCGCCGCGTAGATGTTTGATCTGCCAACGTGCCGGGAAGTTAAATACGCCGTAAGAAACGCTGTTTAAGATCTCTGTCGCTCTCTTTCCCGAATATTTCCGCAGGATGAGTCATATTGAATACCGTAAACGCGTAAAATTATTCGGACGTTGCAAATGAAAATCCGAAAATTATCAATCGATGAAATAAACGTCTCATTTTTTCTTTTTTGATAATAAATATATAATTACCGTCAGAATGGTTCTTTTAGTTGCTTTTACGGGGATTTTAAAATTTTACGATATTTCAAGTCATATTAAATTCAGAAACTTAAAAAACTTATGGAAATTTATATGTTATCATATTTTAAAACCGCGTAGTTACAGACACAGTTTAAAGCATAAATTTCACACATTGAAAAAGTCATATGAAAAGATGGATATAATATACAAAAAAAATTTAATATCTCTCTCCGAAATATGAAACTAAAAACATGTTTCTGATTTTTAAGATTATTTAATTGTAGACTACTCCCTTTTTCTCCTTTTGGTTCAAAAAGATTATAAAAATGACTTTCACATTTTAAGAGAATATTTTTTTAAGAATATTTATATTTGCCTTGGATGCAACTTGAAAATTATTGATATAAAACTGATATTTCATCTATGACGATTCAATAATATACGTTTCGAATGCATGTAAACCAGATGAAAATGCATTCAATCAAATAATTGCTCTTATTTTTCTTTAATAGATAGGAAATTTAACTGTTCACGTTAAAAGCAAGATTCATGATTTGTTAGTTTCGCGTGAAAATTTCCTCGCGGAATTATTTAATTAGCAAGATAACGTAGTAGAGCAAAGGTTTAATTGTTTCAGAAATTAATGAAATGCCGCAAAAGAGAATGCTACAATCCAAGATAATGAAAAATGTATGCACAAGTATCTAAAATTTTCAAGCAAATATTTCATGAACATTCAAATTTTTTAATATGTTCCGCAAAAGTTGTAAAAGTAAAAAATAAAATAAATGATTCCAAAAGAGCTGAATCAAATATATTGCACCGAATTTTCATATATTGACTTTCCCAACCAAGTAACGATCAAATATTAACTTTCGCAAATCAAATAACGCTGTCGATTTCGAAATTTCACCAGTTACATTATAAGGTACGATGATTATTTGAAATTATTTTCACATACCGACTAAAAATCACCTCGGTTACTATTACAGGTATCGATTTCGGAAACAAAATATTATATCGTGCAACTATAATTGAAAACCAGAAAGAGAGATGTTTATAAGAATGGATGGTTAGTATCAAGTTGATTCAGCGGTGCAACCGATATTTCCGGAATGAACCGGATATTTGGGTCACGCTGATCAAGTGTGGTGAACAATCTAGGAAATAGCAGGTTACGGCCGGATGTCGTGCCAAGTGGTTAGATTTAAAGCGTGACATGAAATCGCCCTGAGTGTGAAACGACCGGCTTGTTATCAAAATGTTTCGTGCATGTGTTGGCATGTATTGGCATAAAAATTCATTTATATTAACTTTAAATTTTTTATATAGTTAATAAATGAAACATCGATTTACACTCGATTTAATTGCAACTTCCAAAGTTAGACTTTATCTAAATGAAATTATGTCGCAAAACAAGCTCTCTTGTAAAAGATAAAGATATACTTACATAGAAAAGTGAAATATGACGCAGAATGACAGATGAATTTGATAAATGGCTTCCTCATGGTTTTGCCGATCATGCTGTGTGGTGCAATGATGTAAGCTACGCTGAAGAATGGGAAAAGGACGCCGATCCTGACGATCTCCAGCGCTTGGAGGAACATGTTCTTCCTTCGAAACCCCGGCAGACCCTCGTACCAGATCGATGCCAGTAGCTGCTGCACGTTAGGATGCGCTACGAACTGGAAATATCCAAGCGATATTGACCGACAGTTTCCGGTCATGCGATTGGGAGAAGGTGGCAGCCTCTCACGCAATCAGAATTTAAACTGCAATTACTATCTTCCAAATGTCATCCTTAATTATCACACATTAACGAACGTTTTACGTCTTTGCTTCTTTAATCATTTAATCAAATTAAATACTCAATTATTTCTGCGTCAATGCTCTAAAAGCTGCACTAATGTTACAATAATTGATGATAAATTTGCGATATAATTGTTACTTTACTATATTTAAAATGGTGAAAATGTCTCGATAAAATATAATTAAAAAGCTCTAAAAATAAAAAAATTTTCATAGAACAAAAATCTAACAGACATAATAAAATACTAGAGAAAAAACTTTTTAAATAAAATTAGTTATAATACAAGTTATAATAAAATTTTAAATAAAATTAGTTATAATAAAAAAATTAAATATAAACATTTATATTTAATAAAAAACATTTTAATAAAATTTTAGTAAGAAATAAATTACATTTTGATACAAATAAACTCGAACGAAGTTGAATCTTTATTGTGGTTATTTAAATTTTTTTCAGTGGATTCTCTTACATTGTTGCTTCACGCGTCGGGAATTGCAAACCGAGAAAGAATTCGCGCGCTTGACAAATTTAAATAATTATACTCGCAAATGCGGTTTTTATTATCGAAAAGCAGTCTATTTCTAATTCTGTATCCGGTATAATTAAAAAAAATTATAGAGTTTATGTCTTTTCGTTCGCACTCCATACCTTCTTTTGTCTTAGCTTAATGGCTAATTTTAAGCGGTTAAGATGCATCCTCTCTCCGTGCTCAAAAGCTGGTCCCGTTGGGTCGTGATTCAGCAGGACTTCAAGCTCGTAGGAACTTCTAGTGTGGTCCAGTAATGCGGTCGCGAAGTCTTGGCACTGTCTTCGGAGTTCCTGAAATCACCACGACAGTTGCTGCCAATCATAATATCGAAATGTAATTTCGAATGCATTCTCTCAGAAGCATCTAATTTCCTAAGGTCGCTGAAAATAATTCTCCTAATTTCGCTCGTAATTCTAGAGATTCCGCTCCATATTCCTGAAGGAAATTCGGTAGATTCTCCGCGTTGTCTCTTGCGTGTCGGGAATTGCGAGCCGAGAAAGAATTCGAGCGCTTGACGAAGCGAAATCGAACTTCCAGAGTTTCTGCAAAATCGACAAGCGCGCTCGAGATCCTATCCTAATTGTTCTCAGTCTTGCCTCGACTTCAACTGAATTCTCATTACGCACTCGTGCGGATATATAGATGTTTCTGCGAAGTGTTCCGCATTGTTAGTCTACGTAAATCGAAAATCGCCGCAAAAAGGCGATACTCAACTTCATGAAAAAGTAAATGATGAGAAAATTATGCAACTATAATCTATTTTCGTTTTCGATTGCCAGGAAAATATTTACATTATCCATCGATTGAGAATTTGTGTTTCAAAACATTTAGTACTTCAGTATAACGATTCTGGGTTTCAAAAAATTGCTCTTTTGATCGAGCATATCGGGTTTTCTTATGTTGTTATTTTTTACAGTTCAATATATGTACGACACAAAAGAAGCCAAAGAGCAACCGAGCGTGAGTAACCGACGTGATTGTAAGGTTACACATCTCCTATCTGGAGAAGACCATCGTTACTCCAAATTGTCTGCAATATCAAGTTACAGGCCTTCCATCTCAACGATATGTCATAAACTGAAGTTATTTTGTGGGACGCGAAGATATACAGTATGATATTTAACGTGCTCCTCGATATTTTCCTACGAGAAATTTATCTTTTTTCGACACATGCAGATATATGTCACATAAAATTTAATATATTTAATCAATAAATATATTGAAAAACAATTTATTAAATTTTAATAATATTATGTTATAGTAAATATTTGTTTGAACAGTAATGACTAAATATGTATTTGATAAATGTACGAAGGAATAAAATTTCACTCCCTTTTTTGGAGTGAGATTTCATCTACTCTGGTATTATACTCTAAAAAAGGGATTGAGATTTCACTCCTTTGGAATTTTAAATCATTTCAAAAGAGTGAATCTCACTCTAAAAAGAGTAAAAATCTGCCACTTTTGAACAAGAATAGCCGTATTTTCACTCTTTTTTCAAGACAAGCTAAATTTTCAGTCTCTTCGAGTGAGATTTCACTCCACGAGATTTAGAGAGTAAACATATATTTATTTGATACAAGAACTTAATTCGATTTAAGCATCATTGATTTTTATTGGTAAATATTTATTTACTGTAAGTAAATGTTTCATTAGTACTATTTAAACAAATATTTATTACAATTTAGTAAATTGTTTTCCGGTATACATTTAAAGTAAGGATAAAAGATTACAAATACAATTAACCCTTAAACGCCTTTTCGGTATAATATACTTTCTTTTCCAATGTTTTTTCAATGTTTTTTTCATTCCTTATAATTTCTTTATTAATAAGGATACATGCATTCTCTTAGTACCTTATGTTTCTTAATGTCTGACGTTTCAATTAAAAAAAATTGTTTACAATATGTTTAGTTTTATGAAAATTATAAGCAATTGAACTGGGTTTTGCATATTGTTATATCCAAGTGTATTGTTCTCATAGTGTGGCATCTAAGAGTTAACTTCGAAAATAACGAATAAAGATAAAGCAAGAAAGAATGGAAGAAAAACGAGAAGCATTTGCGGCAATTTATCACAAGTTTCATTCACTTTACTTTCGAAGTCGTCTTCATCGAGCTGGTACGTCAAGATCGGCACTTGAGAGATGGGGAACGATACAATAGCAAAATGGAAGCAAAAAGACAGAGTTTTCCAAAGAAAAAGAGGGTGAATAAGGAACAGAGGATCAAAGAAATGAAGCTGATGACGGTGTTGAAAGGGTACAAGGACGGCTATAGAGAAAACCGGAACGTTGACGAGGTTGAAAGGGAAAACAAAGGGTGTGGCAGGGAAACTATAAAGCAACTCGATAGCGCCGCTGTTCAGTATATTACTACTGCGAAGTACGATTTATGCGTGTATAAATCAAAAGTTCCTTGAGCGTGGTGAGCATTTAAACTTTCTCCACTTAAGCACCGTAAAGAGTCGGGAAGGAGAGAAGCTAACACAGAGCTTCGCGAGGAATGTGCTCGAGCAGAACTTGAGAGACGAAACGGACGAAAAGGAAACCATGGATGTACATCTGCACGACCACTGAATTAAGGAAAACACGTGTTAACTGCTGTGGCTCGCTAACCGAGATAAATTTATTTCGTGAAACCGGAACACCGCTGTGAAGGAAGAAACATCGCTGAAGGAAGCAACGCATATGTCTTAATCTGCAGCTTCATGGAAAGCGAGTAAACCGTTCGAAGAAGTTTTGATCATTTAACTACCATAATATATTCATGATATATGAAGAGTTATAATACGTAATTTCCAGGGTTGGGAAAGTTACTTAAAATAGTTAATCTAAACGCTATATGAATTAATCAAATAAGTAGGTAAGAAAAAGGCTATATAATACGGTGGATGTGAATTTTGGTGCATATAAATAATATTTTTAATGTCAATTCTAAATATATCTTTCAGTTATATAAACTACGCGCTGCTTACTGTCGGATTTGAAATGTAATTATAAACTCAACAAGCTGAAATAATATTATAATTAATAAATTGATTATCGAATTGGTGTAATAATGCTACTAATGCCTTAAAACCTTATAAAAAATTTATTGTGAAAAAAATATTACCTCAGTCAGATTATTTAAAAAAAAATAATTCATTATCATTACTGTTTTTTTTTTAATAACTGATTAATGTTGCTCGTTACTGTTTAAAAAAAGTACCTTATTATCGATACTGTTATTAAAAAATTAACGTTACAGTTTTCGTTTATTGAGTTTTAACGACGTTTCTTTTTTTAAAACGGCTTCCAATTGTCTATGTCGCTTATTGACTAGTTCAATAGGAAATCTATGTTTATGTGATTAATCGCAACATAATCAAATGTAACACTCCCTTCTTTCAAAACTCGTTTATGCACGTTCCATATACATATATATTTGCACGAAGTAACGATAAAAATAACGATTATACTCACTATTATTATTATTACCAAAAAAATAGAACGGTGATATCATTAAATTATAAGAAGAATGTTCTCCCCAAAAATCAAAATAAAAATGTAATATACAAAATAACTTGTAAAGACTGTGATGCTTCTTATGTAGGACAAACGGGTAGAAAATTGATCTCGAGAATTACGGAACATCGGAATCATATCAATTGGAATACGAATTCACAGTCTGTCATCACGAATCACAGAACGGAATTGAATCATGACTTTGATTGGGAGAACATTCAAATTCTGGATCGTGAGAGAATATTGAATAAAAGACTAATTTCTGAAAAAGCGCACATTCTTATGCAAAAAAATGGATTGAATTTGCGTTCTGACAGGGAAGGTTTACATCATACATATACGACGATGTTATGTGAAATGACTAATTAATTTTTAGCCAAAAGATTTTGTATTTTTCACATCTTTGACACACATGATTTATGACTAATATATAGCGAATAGTATAAGTTAGCTTTTCTATCTCGATTGTTTTTGTTTTGTGTCTTGGTTGTCCGTTATAAATTATAAAATGTTCGACAAACACGTTACGTTATCTGGAGATGTGAGATTGAAATTAAATGTATATAATGAAGATTAGTTTTAATGGTTGTTAATATAAACTTACAAAGCTCATGAAACATGTTGAATGTTCCGTTTGAGGTGAGTTACTTTAAAAAATTTGTTGGTTTTCTTTTGATATGTCAATTTAATTTTGATATTTTAATCAGGATCCACTACAGTCGGGAACCTGTAAGTGACTCATGTTGACGGAATACTTAACATATTAATTACACATATGTATTGCTGAGGAGGACTCCAAAGTGAGTCGAAACGTTCAATAAAGAGGATTCTACACATTAATGATTAATTAAGATTGAAATTAATCGTTGGCACCTTCATCAGCCCGTGACTCGTATGGCCTTTACGGATTGTGTTATTATTATTGATATCATTAACGTTACAAATAAGAAAATGTAACATTACCTATTCATTACTGAAAAAAGTATAATTGTAACAGTGTGTAAGATTGGAAGTAATGCGTTATTTTCCTAGTAATTCGAATGCGATAGTATTTCGATTTTTTCTACTTCTTTCTTTATTTTTGAAATAAGACTTACCGAGCACGTACTGTTTGCATTTTTATGTATATTAAGTAATAAAAATTATAAATAATAAATAAAATATTTTTAAAACGCTTTCAAAAAATCGATGATGAATTATTAAAACAACCGTTAGATTGTTGCGTATGCAAAATGTCGATTTTATGTGATCTTCAAATAATTTCTGAAAAAGTAATTTACAATTTACTGAAAAATCGCAAACATTTGACAGCAAGTGAAGCATGCTTTTACAAATAAAATATGTCATTCGATGTTTGTTTTATAAAACATTGTATAGATAAAATTGAAAGTTTGTTTTGGCATCGGACATTTCATATGCAAAAATCCAATGGACTATATTATTTAGGAATATATAGAAAATATTTATAAATATAGAAAATATCAATTTCTTACCTGATATTCGCACTTGAACTCATGCTCCAAGAACGAAAGACGTCGAAGTTCCCAAGAGAGTTCAAAAGCAGTCAGGATAGGATCCTTAGACGACAGTGCTATCAAAGACGGCGACGCCAATGCCCGATAGGCGTTTATTCGACTCCTTGAATGCCTCAGGGAATCCTCCATTCTCGATGTCACGCACTCGTCGCATCTAAAAGAAATAACAAATAGCAACAACAAATCGAAATGAAAATGACTTGGTGACTGTCTGGCGTTCACCGTTTTCTCTAATATTTCCCAGGGCGGCTATGTGTCTCGCGATGTTACATCATCTTTTACGTTGAGAAGACCTCTTTTATCAATCTTTCAACCGTTATGCAACGGAAAAGTCTAGCTTCGAATTGAGAAAACGCTGGCCGCTATACGTATTTCTTTTTACATCACGAGTATATGAACAAAATAAATAACTTTAGACATTCAAAGAGACGACTTTAAATAATACTTTTTGCGTAAATTTCGAGCAAAAGAACGCTATTTTTCGAACAAAAGCTGCACGCTATGGATGATGAATGTAAGTACTCTGCACTCGGTACAGCTTTTGTCCGAAAAATGGTATCTCTTCACGCGAAACTACCACGAAAAATATTGTTGTTCAAAACTGCCCCGTGTTTGAAACTACTCCTGTATGTATGAGTGTTTTAGTCGAGAAAATATGTATCATTTTCACATAACACATTACGACGTAATATAAAGTTCTTCCTCTGCTTATATCGATTCAAAAAATTTTCTGCAGTTCCAATGCACAGAAGCTTAATGTAATGTGATTATCACAGATTAAATTTTCTCTAGAGAGAGATGATGGTAACGCGGCATTTATGTACGTTTAACCTAATTTAATTACGCTTTTGTCACGTCTGTATACAAAGGAATAAGACGATAAACTAGCCGAGGGAATCAATTAGCTAAAAAGAATGCTCTTAGTTAAAGATTAACGATCGGGCATTTATAAAAAGATTAATTAAAGTTTGTGTCAAAAAAGTTAAATTTATTGAGAGACAAATATCAGAATTTTTTAACATTTACATAAAATATTCATATACTTTTGTATCCATCTCATTTAATTTTACTTACTAAATAAATAGGATATCTCTCTCTCAGGAAAGTTAAATTATTATTAAAACAAACGTCTTGATTTTTTATCACAAATATAAACGCTCGAAGAGATGCACAGAAGCTTAAAACGTTCAGAATGCTGAGAAGTGAGCCGTAAAATATACAAGACAGTGTACAGTAAGTGTTGTAATTTATAACACCAAAAGAACAATTTTGATGTAAATTATTTTCTTTGGACGTTAACATAAGCTCTCTTAATTTTCTTTCATAATCATAAAAGTGTTTAATGAATTTTCTTACCCACAGCGAACATCGTGTGGCATCGGCAGAATCGACCCACGATCTAGGAGAATCTTTATAATTTCGTAGTTGTCCCTGTGGGCCGACAGGATCAATGGCGTAATGTCGGGCGTGAACGTGGCTGTATCAGGAGGTAGAGCCTCCCAGCTCTAAAGAATTAAACCGTAAGTCATTACTTTCATAAAATTTTGTCGCTTGACAATCTCTCTCACACGTGCGTACAAGCAATTTTTAATTCTTTTGGTCTAAAACTATTTATTATCCACAGATCGCTTTTTACAGTTATCCCTCTTCAAAGAAAAAGACATAATGATAAAAACTATAAAACTATAAAAGTGACAACTGTACACGTTTTATACATAGAATTAATATGTACATATATAATAATCCAATAAACTATTTTATAGTTATTGCAATTATAAAATAATGTATTCAATTATATGTACATAAATTTATTTCTATATATAATTTAATAACTATATTAATTCTACGTATAAGACTGTTTAATTGTGGTTAAACTTATTTAATCATCTTTAGTTGTTATCACTCTGTTTTTCTTTAAATGTTCGTCGAGTACAATTGGGATCTGAATTGTAACGAGTTTCAATAAATGAAATAATATCAAATATCAATCATAACTTGACGAAGTCGAGTAATAAGTAATAAGTCGACTAAATAAAGAATATTTTTTTCGCGTAACAATCGACAAATAATCTTTCTTGGTGCAGACTTGCGCTGCCATTGTACCAGCATGATCGGTTTAATCAGTCATCGTCACGGGTGGTAACCTCTTTCTTCACGGGGAACCAATTCTCCCCATATAATGAATTCGTCCGATCCTTTCGGACTCATTCCGGATATCATTCCGTTGAAGTTCTACGAAAGCTGATTTCTCGTTAAATCCGATTAGAGCTCTGTTTGAAATTTCGTATTCTTCTACTTTTTCCTATTGCAACCTCGTTCCCGCTCTACCCGATTTCTCTCATTGCCGTCATAAATGACTTTATACTTTGACGGAATCGTCTTTATGGCAGAGAGGATAAGACTACTTGATGGCAGAATAAAGTACGGAAAAATCGTTTGTGGAGCAACTGACACGACAAGTAATCGATTTATGAACTTCAATCAGCTTTTATCTACATACTTTACTTTCCCGAATGACGATTGTGTTAGATTATGCTACTACAGATAGGTAGATAGTAAAAGTAAAACTAGAATATAAGAGTACATTATTCTATCGTATGTACAGGGTGTTTCCAAATTAAATGGCAAAACTTCGGGAGCGTGTAGAGGAGTAAAAAACTAAGAAAAAAAGTCCTATAGACATATGCTCCTTTTTGCTTTGTTTCGCAGGAAATCACGAAAAAAGAAAAAAATATATTTAATTTATTATTTTAATTATTTTATTTATAAACTTTTTAATGAAGATTTTGTTCGAAATGTGCACCTCTTGCAGCAATACAAGCATTGCATCTGTCAAACACGGCTCTTGTAGCAGCCAGGCACTGTTCTTGCGATATTCTGTTCGCTGCAGCTACGATACGATTTCTCAAATGTTGCTCTGATTGAATAGGCGAAGAATAAACTTCTT